TTGGACTTGTCAAATGCATGAATACGCAATGCCATTTAGAAAGTGGTCAAATGTAACAAATGTTATGTTTGTGATAACACTTTCTTAGTAAAGTGCAGATTCTCGTACCTTTTTGAGTTGAGTCCAGTCCGGGACAAATGTTATATTCGGGATAACAGAGGGAGGGGTACACAAAGTACGTGATCTAGACTACCAGTTGTCGGACTTTCAATTATGTGGAAGCCTCGGTGGCTGAGTGGGTTAGATCGCTGACTTTGTGTGCTGGCGATTAGGTGGCTCACGCTGGCAGTGTGGGTTCGAATCCCTTAACCCCAAAAAGTACTTTACTTAGAAAATGTGACCCTAATTATAACATCTGTTGTCAAATGCAGCTTAGACATTACTCTACTGAATTTTTATGAATCGCTGTTAAAAAAGTATTTTAATACAGGGCAGAATAAGGGATAAAGGCCATGTGGTCAGGTAAATTTAGGCAAAACAAAAGATAAAAAACATGCCTTACTTTTGGCCTAAGACTGTATTTAAAGAACAATTACTCCAAGATACATTTAAGTAAACAGCTAGCTGATGAATAGACTGTGTACAGCGTTCGCGTTGTCATGAAGCTATTTCAAGATGTCCTTACAGTCCACTAATAGTGATAGCGTATTCAAGGTCTGCACAGGAATCACTTTGTCGCTGTGAGGATATCGGAGCTCAATTAGCATGACATATAACCCGCGGCGTAATCAGGAGTTCTCTGTATAAACGTCATAATTATGAAGTAGATAGACGACACGGGGGTCAGAGAAATGTGGGGAATATGACCAACCCTCCGCCCTAAGCGGTCAGACGTCCGCTGATAAGTCATTCTCACAGGTTCGAGACACATGTTGACGAAATTACGACCCAAACAAGATCCATTATTATTAGATTCGGCGATACGAACGACCTTGAAGTCGTAGCAGTGTGTCACAGCGTTTGTGTTGATCATATGGATTGAATGTGGGTTGAAAATTGGGTGAAACATGCAAATTAAAGAAATTCTATGAGTGTACTTGCAAGTACTCACAAAAGCAGACCCGACATGGGTACAATGTGTGAGGCCCATTTCTGCTGTCCCCCGCCATGATATTTCTCGAATATGGCTAAAAGCGGCATAAAACCATACTCACTCACACACAAAAGCAGAAGCGGTGGCTTCGCCGTCATTTCAGAAAAGTCCCCAAATCATGTCATACCGTATACTACTAAAAAGACGTCAGAGAACACCCGATTCGTTCATATTACTTAACTTCAGTCAAAGTAAAACATCTTTGTGTTCTTTAACTTTTTTTGAGTAGTATACTTCAGTTTCAGTCTGCTAATGTCCCTACTACAGACGGGCCCAAACAAAAATGCACAATGCCTCCGGCTAGCCTAATAAGGGACCGAAATAACTGTCCGATCTTATTACGTTATTTCTAGTCTGGAAAAACATATAGCTAAGCTGTACGCTTTTAAAACAGGAAGTCTCTATAGATAGATTGCATGGGTTGTATCGTATGTACTTTCTGTCTTCCCGGATTATGACTCAAGCATAATAATTACTTTATACGCTCGTATATATATATTTTGTTGTTTAACGCAGCACTCAGCAATCTTCCAGCTATGTGACGGCGGTCTGTAAATAATCGAGTATGGATCAGACAATCCAGTGATTGACATCATGAGCATCGATCCACGCAATTGGGATACGATGACATGCATCCACCAAGTCAGCGAGCCTGACCAACCGATCCCGTTAGTCGCCTCTTATGACAAGCATGGGTAGCTGAAGACCAATTCTACCCCGGACCTTTATGGGTCAATTACTTTATAAAGAATTTATATGAACTATTTCATTTTGAGGTGAAATCTGACTCCACCAACAACTACGTGTGGGACTCTTACAACATACCGAACCTGGTATGCCATCATCGGTTGTAATAACATAACTATCACATAACAACGGCAGGCAACACATCAATATTTAGGTAATAATTACCCCTACCTTGCTGTGATCCTGACATTGATCTTAACCTTAATCTGTAGAGCATGTTAAGATGCAGCATCTTCAAAACCTCCAGTAAGGACGCAGTAGTAATAGCAAGTAATAATTTTAATCAAAACCACTGCAAAGGAGGATTTTTTGGGTTTGTTCTTTAACGCCGCACTCGGCAATACTGAGGCTATATGACGGCGGTCTGTAAATAATCGAGTCTGGACAAGACATTCCAGAGATTGATATCATGAGCATCGACAAATGAGGAATAATCCTAGAGACACCACGTACCAATTGTGATGCTTAAAGCATACACCTTGAGAAAGTGTTAACTTTAACGTTTTTGTGTGATTTTTCAAACTCGTGATCTCAAGTTTGCCCATCACCGAACCCCGGAGTGGCCACAGGGAAAGAATCTGTTCAATTAATTACCGTTTCTGAGGATGTGCCTCGATGACACATGTAATGTCCGTAACAAAATGATTCACTGTCACGCAGTTCCTTCTTGGTGGGGTTCTGGCGTTATTAATCAACCCTCATAATTGCTGTCGAGCGCCTTTGGTCGTGTCGAACGAAATACGGTTGTCGTGAAAAAAAGTTACTGTTCCACCGAAAACCAAGTTTCACAAAATGTGGACTTCACTCGGTATTTGTGTGTTCTGGGTATTCTGCATGGTCTGTAGCACGAATATGCTCTGTTTAACAAGGTTGCATTGTGACCACTGTATAATACTCCAGTCCATCATTTTCCACAGTTGACCCAGACGTAATGAAATGATCCCAACGTCATTGGTTCTAGTTAATTAGATCAGGCGATTGAGCATCTTTGTTGACCCTATGATTGGCGAACCTCTGCCGTGTGTCGACAAGGCCATGGAGACGGCCAATACTAATTAATCAACTATCCCGGGAATTGCTGAGTGAAATTTAGAGAAACGATAACAGATATCAAAGAGATTCAACATCCATTCAGAGAACAGTTCCTCGGGTTTGACTTGTTCACTTAGCCACGGGGACACTTTTAAACTACAAAAAATCACAGAAACGTCGCATGTTTTAATGGCATTGGCAAACCATTCTGGCATTGGTGAGTGCAGCTCACGTTTTAACAAGGACAGAACCCATTCCGATCCATACTCATTAGATATAGAATACATTTTTTAATTTGACTTCAAAGGACATTAAAACAATTAAAATATAAGTAAACATACAGATGGTATAAATTTCCGTTCAAGATAATGTCTATTCATTATGTTTCAGGCAGTACTAAATGCGCTCTTTGGTAAAAGGGAAAGAAAATACATAATGCTGATAAACGTTATTCTCGCGTGACAATGGCTCATCACGAGATTTGATGAGTAAAGGACATTTACCGACCTGGAAGAGTGTGGCCATTTTCGACTCAAGCCGCGGAAACCTCTTGAAACTTGAAACCGGAGTCTTATTGCCCACCTTTTTCAACTGGGGTCATCACGGAGTTTTAGTAATCCTTTCATATAACTATCCCCGCCATTTTGCCTTTTACTTCCAATGGCATCTGTTTCGGCACATAATCGACTAGTTATTCTCTGGCGTCGACGTCTAATTTAATACGTCTTAGCTGTTTAAGGTCTCGTAGGATACATTGGTCAAGAGTTTATATTAAAACGTTTTAAAGCTACGTATTCCTGTGAATGGACACAAGCCGCACGAATTTGATCTCAGAAGGGTCAATATTAGTAGACGATGAATAGTGACTTTTTATGTACTCGAGGTGGAACTGAATCTGGCCAACGCAATGGTCTTTCATCATGGACGGTCGGCGTGCCATCTCCGAGAGTAATGAGTGGGAATTGACAGCATTACAGATGCTGGCCTCAACAACTTCTTGCACTGGGCTTACAGGAAATCCTCCGTTGCGTGTATCAGAAGAGAGGATGGATGTTGGCATAAAGATTGACCGGACTTTGGGGGGATTTTAAAAACACTGAGCACTTTTTAGATTATTACATGTCAACATCCAAATGGCTATCGTTCATCCTTGCTCAGTGTGGGGCATGATCGATGTGCAGCATGTCTGTTTCGGATTTCGTCTTCGTGGTTATAACGAAGTACTACACGATAGCGTTCAGGAAAGATAGGTTCAGATGAAACTCAGCGAAGTTGATTCTACTTTCAAGAATTATTTGAAGGATGCCGACGCTCTGAAGTTTATAACAATCATATCACCGTTCACTACCACCTCAGTGCTGAGATCTGGCAGCTCGGAGACGATTACCACACATTGTGCAACTCATGAGATCTTTCGAATCCTGGATTGGCTAATGCTATGGTCAGTGAGCTACGATGCCTTGTATTGTATTGTATTCAGGGAGTCATCATTGTCTAAACACGGGTAAATGTTTCAAAAGCCTGTACAATTTGTTGACATCCTTAAAACGGCTGTAAAAAAATGTTGACATCTCATACAAGAAATAAACGACTCGTGGTCGTTGTTTATTATAAGGGTAACGCTATTTTTCAGGGCATTATCATTTGCACAAGCCCGAGGTCTTCCATTAACTGCTCGACAAAGGAGGGCAGTTGAAAAGCCCGAGGTCTTCTGCAAGTGATAATGCCCTGAAAAAGCGCGTTATCGTTGTTATAGCTAAAATGGATGGAATTTGTTAACAAATATATAGAAACACCAATATCGGTTTTGAAACATTTACTGAAATCAACACGAATGTCACTGACCCACTTTTACAAATATGGAATCGTCATAGAACGAACCAGGTGACGTCACTATTGAATGTGACGTCACCTATCCCTACCCTATGACGTCACCAAACAACGGGCGTGATAATGGCCCGTCGTCAAGCAATATGAGGGCATTATCAAGTTGCTGTGGCCCGCTGATTTCTGATAACATGCGGGCGGTTTAATGATAATTTTATCCATTTTAGCTATAACTTACAATAAACCACCGCAGGGAGAATAAACCATGAGGGGCACACATTCATAAATGGGTGAGGCTTACCTTTAACATGAAGGTAGAAAGTGGATGTCGTAGAGCCTTCTTCATTCTCAGCACGACATTTGTACGCAGCCTCGTCACCCTTGTTGACGTTCTCGACGGTAAAGACGTACACGCCGTCACCGTTGGACTCGATGTGGATGCGGGGGTGCTCTAGAACCTCCTGATCGTCCTTGTACCACCTGAGCACCGGCCGTGGGAATCCCGTCAACTTTGTCTCCAACTGCACCGTCGTCCCCTCGTCCACCGTCTCCTCGCCCCTTAACCTCTTTAGAAACTCCGGGGCTGGCGACAAAAACAACATATTACCCATATTGGCAAGAATTATTTTCAGAAATATATTCTCACTTATTATAATGTGTGCTTCATGAATGGCGAGTTTATGCCAATTGCTCTATTGTTTTCGAAGAGGTCCACTGTAACGTGACGTCATATTAACGCATTGTCGCGTCGTCCATTGTTCGTGAAGTCACATGATGTTTTATGTTGCGTTATTTTAACTATAGATGATTGATTGAGCCGATGTCTCCACTTCTGACATTTTCTCAGAAAAAAATATGGGTAATATATATACTTTTTCCTCCTGTGGTCAGAATGTGCTCGGATCTGAGCAGAGATTGAGGAGTTTCAAGTTACTAAATGACATTCCATTTACAGACTCAGTGCTGGTCCATATGCAGAGAGGGCTGGGGATGGCTTATCGTGAAGACATTTAATGGAGGTTATATTACCAAGCAAAAGCCACTGTGTTACAAAGTATATAGAATAAGCAGAATTATCTGTACTTCGTGAACAAAGCTCGTTACTTCTTTCAATCGGGGAATCCTCCGTGCGGATTTCGGGTTTAGAATTGGTCACCAGCAACCTATTCTTGTCGTATGAGGCGACCTCAAGGAGGTCAGGGGCGGCCGGGTAGCCTAGTGGTTAAAGCGTTCGCTCGTCACGCCGAAGACACGGGTTCGATTCCCGTGATATTGCTGGAATATTGCTAAAAGCGGCGTAAAACAACAAACAAACAAATCATTAAGCAATACCCATCCCACCAATGTATACGTAAATTTATTTATTCGGCCTTCTCATCACGTACACTCTTCTACCATATTGGGGGCAGTGGGGTAGATAGCCTGGTGGTTAAAGCGATCGCTCTTCCCGTCGAAGGCCCGGGTGTGATTCCCCTCATGGGCCCCATTGCTGAAAGCGGCGTAAAACCATACTCACACAATCACTCCACCATGCTGTTATTATATCATCGGGGCGGTCGGGTAGCCAAGTGGTTAAAGCGTTCGCTAGTCACGCCGAAGACACGGGTTCGATTCCCGACATGGGTACAATGTGTGAAGCCCATTTCTGGTGTCCCCCGCCGTGATATTGCTGGAATATTGCTAAAAGCGGCGTAAAATCATACTCACTCACTCACTCAAGGAGGTCAGGTTGGTTGATTGCTGTCAACGTCCCCCGATAGGTCAGATGGTTGCTCATAACATTCATCTATTCATCTGCTGTTGGAGACGAGCTTCACTTCTTTTTAGGTGTGAAGCTCCTCTCCAACAACGACTTCCTTATATCCCAAAGGATTGTTATACCTGGCCAAGTATGTGTAAACTGTATAAAACGTTCACCTAAAAATATATCCACTTTGAAACATCTGTCCAGATTCATTGTACATTTGAACACATTATAACGTTAAGGTGTCTAAATTATTTATTAAGGCATGTTACCATCTTGATCTGCATTGAATATATATACTCTTGTATCACCGTTGGTGGTTTTTCAGAGAAATAAAACTGAACTGTAGAAACCTGAAGAATCACAGGATTGCCTGGTACAGACTATATTATTTACAGACCGCCGTTATATAGGAATATTGCGGAGTGCGGCGTTAAAGAGCAAACAGCTCTTAGAACCAAATGGGTCGATAAGTGCCGATAACCGGCGTGTTTGTTTGACCTTCTGGAGTATTTAGAAAAAAACATTTCACATCTATCCCATGGGAATTATAAAACACGTGTTGACACATGTTGACAGCTCTTCTTCGCGAAGATGAAACGATTTGCTGCTCATTGTGGAGTTTTGTTTCGAATGATAAAAAGATAACAGATAATTTGACATTACAGGGTTCCATTTCTACAGATCGAGGAAGTAAACATATGACATTTAGTCCGCCCCTGTTTGTGCTCGATTAGAACTCTGGGGATTATAACACAACACACCCTAGAATGTGTGTACAAACATGTGCTTTTACGTACAGCCAGATATGATATAGATATACAAATTATCTATATGGAAAATGTAAGCGTATCAGTATCGATAAGGGCTTTGTTAAAATACTCCCTCTTCCGAAATGTACCCGCCCATAACTGTTACATACGGCCGGGTTAAGTTGGGAAGTCCCTTTCGTTGGTGAGTGAATGATTTGTGTTTTACACCGCTTTTTACAGTATTTTAGTTATGTCACGGCGAAAGCATCAAGTCAAAAGTTCAAAATGTTATTTCCCGCGATTTACTTTTGAATTAATTCGTTCCAGAATTTAATGGAATGGAACTTTGGTCTCAAGTTTAAGCCCTCAAAAATATTTGTTCACATTATTTCCTGAAGAAAATGTGCTCTTTGTCCTTGGCTTCCTTTTTCAGACAAGGAAATGAAATGTCTCTAAGCAGTGACGGAAAAGAATGTCCCTCTCCTTCCGGGTACCCATTCAACAACTTTATAGAATGAGACCCATTAAGAACACTTTCCATTGTAACACTGTACATGAATATTACTACATTCGTGAAGCCATGGGACGATCCGGTTGCTGTAGATGGTAAATGAATGTACTGGTATCCAAAAATCGCATTTATGATGAATAAATTAATTATTTATCTAATAAAATGGAGAATACATAGTTAAACGATACCTCATACTGGACCACAAAGTCACTTGTTTTTCGCTTCGATCAAAGAGTTTTCTAGGTAAAATATACATTACGTTTAAGTTTACGATCAGACAACATCTAATATATGATGCAAGTTCTATTTTCGAAAACTGATGGATTTTGTCCAAGTCATATTTTCCAATAATAGTGCTTTTGAAGTTCCTGAACACACGTGTCGAATTCAGTTTTCATTTTCGTTACAGCCAGCCCATTACACCCTTAAACGACTTTATCAAAGGGCATGATTTAAAAGCTTCACTTTCGGGATTATCACCAGTACGCCCCCTACAGGCGAGAGCTCCCAAGTCAGGTCCGATAACTCTTAATCTACTTCATCAAACGACGAGATGAGGTCTGACCTAGCTTTGCACACAGATCAATGACAATTTAATAGACCATCGATTTATTTCTAATTTTGAGGAGCGCTAACTCCTATTGCAGCAAAAAAGAAAATTGATGGTGTTTTTCCAAGACAACTCGAACGCCAAATTGAATCATTTTGGCGGAGGACTGAACGAAATCGTTTGATCGTGATATTAATATGACTACGAGGTATTTGGCGGGTTTAATTCCGATGAAAGGTAATTAACAGGAATCCTATCTCGTGCGGTGTCCTCATCGTCGGTGATGAGGCTGTCGCCGCGGAGGGATGTATTGTATGCCGTGTCAAGGGAATGTGGAGGACGCGAAGAGTGAAGATCGCACTTTTCAAACAAAACATGCACAGCGATATTTTTGTCATTTGACTATGTTTAAAACGTAGGATTTCATATGGGATCAGGAATTTCGAAATTGGTTCTCAACTTCTAAATCTCATGGGGCACGGAGATCCCAGGATTTTAAGGGCCTAGAATTCGCTGTGATGGGTTGCGTCCCTTTGGCATGCCAGGATGCTGGGATCGTGGGTTCGAATTCAACATGAGTTTAATACTCGGTTTGTCAGCACCGGTGTAACCAAAGGGGTAAACAATGACATATTTATTGCCATTAAGACTAATATAGTTGCGTTTATAAACGGGGACATATGGTTTATTCCGTACATTATTCTACACATTGAACGTACTTGTCATATGATAGCTTTTGGTTAAAATTACCTTTTTCTTCTTTACTAGGCCCATGAACATAGGTAAGTATTAGGTGATTGATAAATGTAGTCAGGTTGGTCCTGTATGAATTTAATATTTAGCCCGGGACATGCATTTCATATCCCAAGTCGTCAAAGAGTGAGGTACAGATCATCTTCCCGAGACTATAGAAGTCCAGTTTTCACCCTTGCCGAACTAGGCTGGAATTCTGGAGTTATATTTTAGCTGGACTAACGAATCTATGCATAGTCAAATCAAAATCGTGAAACGAAATCAACGTCCGATTCATAAACTGGCGATTGCAGGATTTGCAAAGCACGTGTACCGCCAGCTTAGCGTCAACAGATATTTTCCAAATCTTTTCATGTTTATAATCAAGGTGCTTTCGTGATTTGATGCACTTCGCGAAGTAAGACCCGCTTTATTACAATGTAGATCTCGATTATCCACCATATCGACTTCACTGGGCGCCACCATTTTGTAGTAAATGCAAGTGATATGAGAGGTGGAATCTGATTGGTCAGGGGGGGACATAGAAGGGACATAACTCGTAATAACCACGAGTGGCGCTTCGACCGAGCCCACAAATTCCAGCCTAGTTCGGCAAGGGTGGAAACTGGACGTTTACTGTCGGTTAACTCTCTTGCTTCGGGAAGATGGGTGCAGGTGTGAAAGGAATAGGGAATATCTTAGTTAGAAAAACGAATATGATGTGTGTAATCATTGAAATGGGGAGTGATCTGTGCATATTCTGGGGGGTACATGTTATCAATCTTCAAATTAAATATGAATCAATGTATCTATCAACAGCACAGATATTAACAATTGGCTTTTACCAGAGCAGTGGAAATACACGTGGGGACATCATATTGTTCTTAAATATGGTGTTGTTTAGAGCATGACAAATAATAATAATAATAATAATAATAATAATAATAATAATAATAGTAGTAAAATAAAATAAAACATAAACTAGCAAGGATATTTATTAATCTTGAAATGTAGCTTTTACTTTGTTCAGTAACATAAACAACATTTGTAGAGGGTAAAACATTTCAATGGAACTAAAACGTAGAGATTCCAGGGAAGTGAACTCATCCACTGTGTCAAACACGTGGATGATGAGTGTGAGAAGGCAAGGGCTGGCTGAGTCTCATGTAACTATAATACTTCACAAGAAAAACATATGCATGAAATATTGCATAGCTTTCGTCTTTTTATGACATTAGTTATTAGACTTCAGTTCTATTGTGTGCGCCGTGAGCTGAATATCGCCCCATGAGAG